TCTTCAATAATCCCGCAATTTACAACCCAATTCAGTACTTAGTTTAGTGACTCATCACAGTCATCCAAGGTCAATCAAAAGTTTTTCAGGAACACAAAGTGGATCCAGATATAGATTCCCGAACCAACAAAGGATAACAACAAAACAATCCATCACACGACATACGTAACTCACATATCCCCATAGCACCAATTGTAAAGCACAAGAACATCGAAGCAGTCAACTTTTAACACAATACACGTGTTCTCAATTCATTCAATTCCCCGTTCCATCAAGTCTCTCCATATTATCTGATAGTTGTCGAAAGCATAAGGCAATTCACATATTAATCCCCACGGCGTCAAAGGTAGTATTAAAAATAGTCAAACATGCGTTAAACACAATTTACACATCCTCAGAGCCCCAATTTCAAAATATAATGGCACTGAGCAGTTTTTACACAAGGCGTACTAAATCCACACACTTTCGGATAATCAGGGTTTTTCAAAGCTTCTTTGGATATTAATAACATCTACATGATCTCAAGAGATGACATTTGGGACAAAGCAAACAAATAATCGCCTCGGGACCAAAGCACACCCGTTCACGACCGTCGGTGGCCGGCCCGAGATCGATTAGACAAACCCACCCGTACAAGACCGTCGGTGGCAAAAGAGATATCTCAACAAAGGTGCTACATAGGCTTAACGTCCCCTAGCACGAAGAGACACTCCAAGAATGTCATCAAAACAAACATAAAACCATTTACTTTAACTTGATTTCCCAAAATCTTATAACATTGAAGCAACGACTCTCCCTTACAAAACATATTCTGATCAGTCAAAGACAAATGTTCAGTACTGCTTATAATCAAATCAATCTGCCATCATCGATCCCTATAGCGTCAACCAACAAGGATGGGACAATACACAAGCATCGTTCCTTAAGACACCCAATCACGGGATTTGTACAATTCGGCTCATTTTCAACGCATATGTCGTCGATAGTTGGGGGTTGGTTCTCAATGGTGTTCATGGTTAGATTAATCTGTCATAGCCCACAAAAGGTCTTTCAAATAGGTCAAGTACTCTAAACAGATTCAAGTTTTGGGTCTATCAGTTTTTCTGCCAAGAATATTCTGGCTATTTATTTACAGGCAATCCTCAATCCCTTTTTACAAAATTAAATTAGATAGAGGGTCTTATCAAACCAATCCTGACACAGGCCTTGCCAAATTAAATCAAACAAAGGTTCTTTCAGATCGAATCAGATAAAATTTTTCTCAAATAGGGCACATTCAGTTCTATAAGGCATACTTCGTCTGCTTAGGTACATGGGTGATGGTTTCTCAACTGCCCTAAGTTCATCAGTTCTCAAGGTCATATCGGAATCATTCACCACAATAGTTCATATCAAAGTGTTTCAAATCAGGTATAATACGGTATTGTCTACATAAATTCGGGGGTAGTCGCATATGCATGCAGTTATTCGTATCGGGAGGTACGTATCATAATTAGTATAGTAGTTCTCAAATAAGTCTTATATGCAAGAACACGGTGCACAGTAACACATTAAACAGAGTTCCTCAGGTACACATAGTATAGGATTGTTCCGCAAAAGTTTCAAATTAGCCACAAAAGCATAGGTTTATGAGTCGAGTCCAGTATAGTCACGTAATCCAGTCAACTTTCTACCAATTAAAATACATGGTCTCACAATTATAGAGTTCATCATTTAGGGTGCTCAACTCGGTCACACGATCACAGAATCATACTTCCAGTGGTTTAGTCATTGAAATAGTAATATAACAAATCACCCTAAGCATAGGTTCAGATGTACATGTGCATGTGCAGAGTTAATCGATACCCCAATACGCATTTCACACATTTCTCCAAATGGAACATATACATTCAATGAATACGGTCTCGATCTTGTAGGTCCAACCAATCTAAATACACATGCAGCAGATACGAAAGGATATGCCGATTTGAATCAAATAATATCCCAAGCAAAGATGTACACATGTATTAATTCAAAATCAATCAACACATAAGCATTCGTTTGTAAACAATATAGATACCCGGGATAACAATCACAATATTCTGAGTGCTTTCTGGGATGAGTGTAATTACTCTATCCTGAGTAGCAATTCCTACCATTGGTACGAATTTAGCTGAGGCAGAACATTTATTCACATTGCTCAGTTCGGGAACAATCCCTTACCATATGGTCCATTTTACCACACCTATAACAAGCCCCCGAAATTCGACAACGACCCCTCGGCGTTTCTTACACTGGTGGTGGCAAAAGTTCTTGCCATAGCAGCAACCAACGTTGTTGTCTTAAGATCTCTGTCATTTCTTGTACCATTCTTCCCAGTCTATCAAGTCGGGCTGTGGAAGAGCTTTCAGTTCGTATGCCCTTAATTTAACCACCCTCTACACAAACTCTCATTAAACCTTGCCAATTACTGGGATGTCCAATACAAAAATAAACACAGATACACATGGGTACATTCGCACATAGGCATATTGTTATATTCTCATTTCACATATCGTACGCAATAAATCACACACGTAACAGATAATTGCATACATATCAAATATCGCATGCTGAACATTTACTAAGTAATTATATACTCAAATCATGTTCATGTTTCACATAGGCACCCATTGGCAGAATCGAATGCACATAAGCAACTTTTCATGGTTCATATGTTCATGTATGCGCACTATAACAAAACAAATTTTATTGTACACAGTAGTGTAACAATTCATATCTCATATTCAAATCATGTGTGGTATTTCCTTTAGCGTAACATATCATGTTGGTCAAGCATAACAAGTTCCATAATGGAACCTTTGGTACTGGATAACATATCTCATTCATAAGCCACGGTATTGTTTCCCCTAGGCGAGGGCTTCTGCTAAGGATACCACAATTACATTCGAAGGAAATTTAGACAGTCATTCACTCATGCAAAACATAGCATTTCAGGGAACTTGTCATTTCATATCATCAGAAAATAATTAAAGTTCACCATTTGATTAAACTTGCATTATACTTTATACAAAAGATTCACAAGTATGCATTTACTAGAGAGCATACATATTCCAATGGTTTACAATGCAAGCAATTCACGAATTTATAACACATAACTGTTCATATCGAAACAATTAAGCATATTCTTGATGCTTCTAAGTTCACATTTATCACATGAATGTATCCTAGATCTTTTCTAGACGCTTATTACTCATTTGGACAAGTGTGTGAGTTATTAACTCGTGTTCTGATACCACTCTGTCACGACCCGAACCCGCCCCCATGGGTTAAGGATGTAACCGGCCAGTAATCATGAGATTACCTACGGCCTCAAACCAAACCAAACGTATTTTAACAGAGTTAATGGGGGCCAAACGGAAGCAATTTAAAACTTTGTCCACAGAACTGTGCTTATATGGCACATCATAACAATCATCCAGATACATATTAATAATTCACATCAAAATATGTACTAACACAACCTCTGTACATACAGGATCATTCGAATCTAAGTCAGCCAAGCAAAACTATATACAGACATAAACCAAAGTCCTCGCCAACATGACAAAATGACACAAGATAGCAAAAGGGCGAAAACGTGCCTCGTTCGTGAGACGCGAGGGCTGACTCTTCAAAACCTTGGTTGTTCTACACAAACTTCACTGAGGCTGGGTTTGGACCTCTCTTGGCTCACCTATAAACACATGAAAGAGCGTGAGCGATAGCCCAGTGAATAATATCAAACAAATAAGTCGTACAAATGATATGTAGAACAACATAGTCCAAACGGCCTTAGGCCCAATTCGTACTTCTATTTAACATATATATATATATATATATACACAATTTAAGTCAAGTGACAGTGGTTCGTATCAGGCTGGCCTTCGGCCCATTTATACTTTCATTTATGTTAGAACGGCCTCTGGCTCATCCATTCGTGTCAAAACGGCCTCTAGCCCATTTATTCATGCTAAAATGACTTTCGGTCCTTTTGTTTATGTCAAAACGACCTTCGGTCCATTCATTTATCTCAAAGCGACCTTCGGTCCATTCATTTATCTCAAAACGACCTTCGGTCCATTCGTTTATCTCAAAATGACCTTCGGTCCGTTCGTTCATGTCAAAACGACCTTCGGTCCGTTCGTTCATGTCAAAACGACCTTCGGTCCATTCATTTATCTCAAAACGACCTTCGGTCCATTCATTTATCTCAAAACGACCTTCGGTCCGTTCGTTCATGTCAAAACGGCCTTTGGCCCATTCACACTTTCGTGTCAAACTGGCCTTTGGCCCAATCATTCATATCGAAACGGCCTCTAGCCCATTCATTCATGCTTGTCAAAATGGCCTCTGGCCCATTGCAAACTTTTATATCAGACATTGTCCACCATTCAAATTAATGAACTCACAGACTTACATAGAGGTAAGCAATAGGACAACAACATATTCAACATCTTTTGTTAAGATATTACTCACAGTGATCGGCTTGTGAATTTGCCCTGGAGCTTGACCCTAGGAGCCTTAAACACTCAAGTTCTTGCCAAATCTTGAGCTTAATCTTCAAATTCCTAAGCTTGAGCCAAAAATCACACAATTCTCTCATTCTCTCTCTCTACAGCGGTTCTCTCTATTTTGAGTCCCAAATTCAGCCAAAATGAAGTGAAAAAGAGAGGATAGAGAGTGTAGTGACTTCACAACAAAACCCACTAAGGCCAATATAATATTAATAAGATAATTGGGCTCTAATTCACTGATTTAATTGATTTAATCTAACCCAAATCAATTTTCAATTAAATTTCACCATAGGTTCCAAAAATTATGCCAATCCCAATGGCGTAATCAATTTCGGGTTCTGTGACCGATAAGGCCTCCAATTAAATTTTCAAAACAGATAAATCAAACAGATATTCCTACGGTGAACAGATAGAAATCCAAGACCACATAATAAAATCATATTAAACACGTAACAATATTACGAAACAGGTATTAGACGAGCTCTCGACCTCTCTTCGAGCATTGCCTTGATAGATTGCGCGACTTCGCATGGCCTCACAATGTATGTCATTCACTTTCTCTCCCAATCGATCAATTTTTCTGTCTCTCGATCATTTTTTTCCAAAAGCTTCGAATTCATCAATTTATTTGAAGTTAGGGTTCAGTGAGAGCCATGGAAAGGTAGACTACGAAGCCAAAATGCATTCTCAATCAATTGATCTCAAACCCTAACTAATCTCTACACACTCCTCTGTATCGAACGATTCGACCTCTCTGCAGTCTCATCTCTGATCGCAAACTTGAACCAGTTGAAGCAATTCATCGATGATTGCAAGTCCAATCCCTCAATCTTCTCTAATCTTTCTCTCTCCTTCTTCTGAGATGACCTTGAAAGGTATGATATAATTCACTTTCATGTAGCTTGATTCAGAATTTTGATTTTTTGTAACATGTATTATCTTATTAATGCTGAATTTTGCAGATGAGAGACTCTTCTATCGAGGTCATGGAAGAAAACCGTGATGTTTCCTAGGAGGCTAAGGTAAAGCATTCTAATTTCATTACATGTACATACACACGTGTATATATTGTAAACACATGTTTTCATAATTTGATTTTGATGGTTTTGGGTTGATTAGGGAAACTGGAGGAAGCAATAGAGTAGCTCACACAGGTTATTTTGCTCAATCCAACCTCAGCAATTATGTATTCAGGGTCTCTCATAGCGATCGCTTCAGCCGAAGTCTTCTTCGAAGAACGTTATCACGGTACCTTCTCTCTAGCTCTTATTTTTTTATTCTTACTTGTTAATTTTCGCTTGCATTTCGAGATTTCTATGATTTTTTGGTGGTTTAGTGGAGTGAATTGATGTTGAATTTGATATTCCTCGCCGATATGATCTTTCAATTCAATTTTTAATTTGTTGTTAAATTGTTTAATTTGTTCCAGTGAGCCTTATTGTGTTGATGTGTATATTCTTTATCCTTTTTAGTTATTTAATTCTGTGTATTTACACTTACTTTTCTACTGATGCAGTGATGCACAAGAAAGAGTAGCATTACTTCTGACATCCATTGTCAGTATTAAGGGGTTGTTTGGGGTGTCCTAAATAAGTGCACTTTTTGTCTTTTTGGACTAAAAATTTGAGGTTGAAAATATAGATGTTTGGGTTAACTTTTTGACTTTTTATAGAAAAATGTGTAATAAAAAATTACAAAAATTGATTTGTAGAGAAAAATTTGAAGGAAAAATTCGAATTGGGAGTTGTGCAGCCGTAATTGTTGACTTTTGGTGAATAGTGTTGACTTTTTAACTTTTTAAGTAACTTTTTGTCTTTTTATCCTTTTTGAAAGATCCCAAACTTACCCTAAGTGGATGACCATTATTCTCTCTCGCTCTCTGTTTTTCTTTGATCTTCAAAATGTGTAGGTAACAAAAGATCAAAATTCAAGTAGTTTCAAAATTTATTTTTCAAACGGATCTTCTTTGGGAGGGTTTTTTTTTTCTTTTTCTTCCTGATGTGCTAATGGAGCTCTGCTCTCTGCTTTCTTCTCTGGCTACTTGTGAGCTTTGTTGCCTTTGTTCCCAAAAAAGATTATCATTGAAATAATGTTTTATGAAAAAATCCAGGGTTTGAAAAATAAGTTTAAAAATTTGCTGGACCTTCGAAATTTATTTAAAAATAACCTGTATTTTAAAATAACACCTTTCTTCATTCCTTTCTTCCCATTTGGAAGTTGATTGAATGAATCGTATTTTGACATTGTTTCTTGTTGTTGCATACTATGGATAAATTCAATCTTTGGCACTTGCGGAGTGTATAATTTCATGTTCTTGTTGCATACTATTGATTCATTGAGAATTTTGCTGTTCTGGGTTTTTGGGTTTTGTTGAAATTAATCCACTTTCTTTGTGTTTTGAATTGGACCAATTTTTGGTTGAATCGGTTGTCATTTTTGTTAAAAAAATCAGTGGCTTTGGTGTTATGTTATGGCTTAGATTGTTCTCACAAGGGGCTTCTTTGCAGTATCTGTTAGATTGGGATGGTTTAGGTAAATTCAATCTGTGGCACTTGCAGAGTGTATAATTTCATGTTCTTGTTGTATACTATTCATTCAGTGGGGATGTCTTTGTTCTGGGATTGTGGATTTTGATGAAAATAATCCATTTTCTTTGTGCTTTGAATTGGGCCAATTGGTGGTGGATTCAATTTTTTTTTTGTTTTTGTTGGAAATCAGTGGCTTTGGTTTTATGTCTTGTACATGTAGTTGATTATTGCAGCGTCTAGATTGTTCTCATGAGGGGTTTCTTCATAGTATTCGTTAGATTTAGCTGGTTTAGCTCAAATTGGTTAGCTTAATGCCCTATAGACTATTATTGCTAAGATTTGTCCTATATACTATATCAATATATATGGTTGTTGAGCAGGAAAATCTTATGCTTCTGATACGATTCAATTCAATTCAATTTTTTAATACATGATGTTGGTTGGAAGCTTATGGACTAATTCAATCAACTATGGGCTTAGCAAAGCTTTGAGTTAAATTATCATGTTGATTTGGGTTATATACGCAATATGAATATTCCGCTAAAGTCATGCTTCATTTGAAGGCTTCTTGTGGTATGTCTATGTGGTTAGGTATTGCCATAACGTCTAGATCCATGTAATTCTCATATGGAAATTGATATTCAGCTGTGCATGCTGCAATGAAGTGTTTTTAGTTTCCATTACATTATGACGCATATGTCAACATGCAACTGGCATAAAAATTCTGCATAATTAATGAAGTGTTGTGGTGCCTTTGCCATAACATGATCATCTTCAAAGAATAAATATATTCTATAAAAAAATAAACAAAAAGAAAATTACTAGGTTGAAAAAATTATATGTACACATAAATCAATTATACAGTACATCTCACAGTATGTGGGATAGATTACCATAAGCACAGCTTTAATGTTGTCCAAAGTGAGATCAATCGCAAATGAACGATCGCTTTGCAATTTAAGCAAGACGTCTGTGATGTCGTCTTGCGCAGATATCTACCTTTTTGGATCAAGATGATCGTCAATGATTTCTTGCTAGAACATATCCAATTCCTTGAAATTTTTCTCAAGCCGGCCATATAGTGCAAAGAGTTTATCAATCCACCCCATCAAAGGAAAATAATCTGATACAAAGATCGCCGCCAAGGCTTGAGCTTCATTAAGTAGGCTGTGAAATCTACTTCTTTCATGACCTTCATCCTCATACCTCTTCCCAAAAGCAACTCGGCAGATTATGGTGCTTGTGAGAGATATAAGTGTGTCACTCAAGTTAGTACCTGTTAGGTCACCAATTGTCCAAAAAAACTTCTTAGTAAACAAGCCCAATTATCGAGAATGGAATCAAAACTCTAAGGCCTTGTTAGATCATCAATTGTCTTAAAAACTTGAACTTAGAAAATTAAATCCAAACATGTAAGGGACTATCATTTTGTGTAATTTTCATTTTAATAGGACCTTTGGGAAATTAGAATCAACTAATAATGTAATAATTACACATATGATTATTATCAGCTCATGAAAGTATATATATTTAAATATATATTAGAAAGATAGATAGTAGATTGACTAAAAGGAAAGAAAGATTTCCAAAAGAGGCAAGAAAAGTTTAGACAGGTTTTGTATTGTTTTCTAGGAAAAAAAGTAAGGAAATTGGGTGGGAAATTTTTTTTGGAGAAATTTCTGAAAACACTTTTTTGAATTAATTTATAAAAATTGTTTTTGCATAAAAATGAAAACTGTGGGTTTTTTGAACTTTTCAATTTTTTATTTTTTTGGTTTCCGAAAGACTAGAAAACTAAATGACAAACAGAAACATACAAAACAAAAACAATACCAAACACATGTACATTTTTGTCTTTGAAAACTTTTAAACTTCCTTTGGGCAAGTCAAGTTATGCTAGGATCATGAGTAATGCTAGGCATCATGAAAGAAATATCATGAAAAGTTTTATGAAGATTCTCTATCCTTGAATTACACACACAATGAAACATCACACACTAATCGAATGAGTGAAGAAGCACTGACACTCCAAGATAGGTGCCGATGTTGTGTCCGATAGGTGTGTCCACATGGTATTTATAGTTTCATTTCTTATGTTGTGCAAATGCTCATGAACCTACAGCATAGCTATGTTTTTCTTATTCCCAGTAGTTTCAATTATCTGTGGATGATACTGCTTATAGGAACTTCATATTACCCTGTTTTCTGCAGAGAAAACCACCTGATTGGCAGGATTTTGTTGGGATCATTACTCTGCTTTTTATCAATTCTACTATAAGTTTTATTGAGGAGAACAATGCTGGTAATGCTGCTGCGGCTCTCATGGCCTGCCTTGCACCAAAAGCAAAGGTAATGGAATTTGGTCTTTAGACAAATTCAAAAATATTCTACCTTCACACATATATGTAACTTGCTTTTCCAGTTTTTTCAAGGCTGGATTATGACTTACAATTTGTATCTTCTATCCTAAATTGATTAATCTAAAACAAAAAATCATAGGTTCTTTGTGATGGAAAATGGAGTGGAGAAGATGTAGTTGTTCTTATTCCAGGTGACGTAGTTAATATTAAACTTGGCGACATAATCCCTGTAGATGTTCGTCTTTTTGAGGGTGACCCATTGAAAATAGACCAGGTGCTTGTGACTATCATTATTCTATTGATTGAAGTAGGTTGATTTCATTGTCTAATGGTCAAGCTATCTAACTGGAATACTTCTATTTGGGTTTTGCAATCTGCACTGGCAGGTGAGTCCTTTCCTGTGACAAAAAGCCCTAGGGATGGGGTTTATTCAGGATCCACTTGCAAACAGGGAGAGATTGAAGCAGTGGTCATTGCCACCAGTGTCCACACCTTCTTTGGCAAGGCTGCTCACCTTGTGGACAGCACAAATCACGTGGGCCATTTTTCAAAAGGTATGGACATTCAAATATAACTTTGTTTTGTTCAAGATCATAGTCATGAAAAATATGAAATAAAAGAATTAAGGTATTCAGGAGATGATAAGAGAAACATGTCTAATTTGTTCCTCAAGTACACCTAATTCATTCCTTTTCACATCGACATATGGCTCCCAGATATTCATAATATGTATATTCAAAATCCACTGACTGACTGTTGACAAAAGTATTATTGAGGTTGTTTGGGGGACTGTTTGCTTCAGATTGAATTTCTAAATTCTGTAATGTAGTTCATGTTCCAACCTTTTGTCTGGATGTATTCTCATAGGTCTTTGCTAGAGGAGTAGATGGAGAGGCTGTAGTTTTGATGGCTGCTAGAGCCTCAAGAGTGGAAAACCAAGATGCAATAGACGCTGCTATTGTCGGGACGTTGGCTAATCCAAAAGAGGTGTGTTAATTAGTATACAAACTTTCTACTACATAGAATGGGGGTGAAAAAAAATTTACGCTTCTGATTCTGAATAGCTGAAACAAATGCACCATAATATTAAATGAGATTTTCCTTCTGAATGACTTTTGTTATCAATTCTCCATTTAATATGTGTGTTTCTATTTTTCTTCTTTGACTTCTACTAAAAACTAAGGCACGGGCTGGCATTCAAGAGGTTCACTTCCTTCCATTTAACCCCACTGATAAGCGAACAGCTCTGACTTATATTGACGGTGAAGGTAAAATGCATCGAGTCAGCAGAGATGCACTAGAACAGGTATATTAATTAGTAACTGTTTCCATTATATCTTGCATCTGGTATTGCTTCTTCTTTTTTCCTTTATATCTTTTTTTGTGCCTAATTATGCGTTGGATTGGTTGTTAGATACTGAATTTCACACACAATAAATTGAAAATAGAGCATAGAGTTCATGCTATGATTGATAATTATTCTGTAATATTGATATAAATCATGGAGTACAATACACCATACACAATCATATTATAGCAACATATAATGTAATATTCATTTGAAATATCATTTATGCACTTCTATCTTCTTCTCATTCTCTCTCTCAGATCTCTCACTCTCTCTGTTTTTCCATTCATTTTAACTCGGATCGCCTCTTTGATGGTTCAAAATGATTCGTCTCTCTCTATATAACAATACACAATCCATCTCTTTCAGGTTTTTTTTTTCCTGATTAATGTTCTGTTTGCTTTCGAATTGCCATAGTTCTCTCTCTCTATTGCTTGTATGACATGTAACAGTGTGCTGTGCGATTTGCAGGATCTGCTACTATTCTTTGCCTTGATCCTTACTCAATCTATCGCCTTTTGAGGTATATGCATATATATGTTGTTCAAGCTATTGATTTTCTATTCGTTTATGGAGTTTTTTTGTTTTTTGGTGATATCTTTTATTCTGGAATAGGATTGATGGATTGGGAGTGGGAGTCTTCCTTCTTCTAGCTCTTAGAATCAGTGTGCCAAAGGTTGATTCTTGGGAAGGACGTGAGAGTCCTGATCTTCATTGTCGAAAACAAAAGCCGTAGCTCTCGCTCTCAATCTTTCTCGCCGAGCTCTTTGAAATTCCATGGCTATCCCCGCCTCTCACATTGCGTTGAAGATGGATGATGACGCTATCGTAGACGACTTCTCTTTCGGGAGCTTATCGCACAAGCGATGCCCTCTCTATCTAAGATCAGAATCTGATTTTCATTTTTGATTTGATCTGCTTTTGTATTTGATTTTCATTTTTGGTTTGATTGACATTTGTATTTGATTTTAATTCTTCTTAAAGTTTGAATTTGAAGGGTTCATTCCCTAGCTCTGCAGAATTACCTTTGCATTGATTGAGCTATTGATTGTCTTGTTTTGATTGAGATATTGATTCAATTTTGGGATTGGCATTGATTAAGAAGTTGAACAGACCAAGAGCTGGGCACTCCCTACAAACTGCAGTACACTATCAGAGGTCTTTCTATATTTACCTTCCTTTGTCTCTTTACATGAAAGATTTTACTCTAAAACTCCCTTACTCTATAACCTTCGAACTTACTAACTTAATCATTGGAGAGTCCTCTACCACTAGTCACAATTGTTTATTTTCTTGAGTGTTTCACGCCAAATTCCACCAAGTTCACGAGACAGCATCACCGCAACAAGTGTGGTCATATTGGTGTGCTAGCAAGGGATTGGGTGGTTATATTGGTGCCAACTTAGTTGGGATTGATATGTCTCACTATACAACAAAACTAACTATTTACGGCATTATGTTTACGACATCTATTAAATGCATGTCGTAGTTAGTACATTCTACAGCATTTTTTTTTTGCATGCCGTTAATGTTTTGTCAATAACAGCATACATACCATGTCAGTCGCTAATTCATATATTTATGGCATGCAAAAAGTATGCCGTAAAAAACATATGTTTTTATGACTTGCAAAAATATGTCGTAAAATATTTGTACTTAAGACGACATACATATCATGTTGTAAAATGTCATAACTTTACATGACATACTAATGAATGTCGTGAAAATTTGTACCAAAAAAAAAAAAAAATGCATTATAGGATGCAAAAGTATGCCGTAAAAAATGTATCTCTTCACGGTATACAAAAAGTGCAGAAAAAGCATGTCGTAATTTATGAGCTCATCACATTCTTCTACAGCTTTATGTTTACAGCATGCATTAAATGCATGTCGTAATTAATATATTTTATGACATTTTCTTTTATGTAAGCT